CTGGCTGCTTCGCTGAATGTTTAGAATATAAAGTGCAGCTTTGCACTTTTTCAAATCTAAGTTAGATACAGTTCTACAACAAATATTCATCCAGTGCCTATATGTGCCAGGCATTGTTCTGGTACTTGATTATGAAGCAACCAAAATGTGTACATGCATTCCATAGCCCCTTAAAGCACCGTCTAAGAATAAGTCAGTTATTTGTTTTCCACAACTTCTTAACTATGATTTATCTAGATTGCCCATAACATACTTGTTAAATTGTCTAGTGATCAGGCAGTATGTAGTCAGCTTGCATACTACATTCTATATAGAATCAAGTTAAATAGATACAGGGTGGAGCAAAAGTAGATTTACAGTTGTTCATATGGAAAATAATACAATAATCTATACTAATAAAAGGGTAACATCTTCCAGACATCCAACTTCCTTCTGGACATTTAGGGGGTGACCAGGCTGGCAGGAGGGCAGTTAGGAGGTGACCTGGCTGGCAGTGGGGCAGATAGGGAGTGAATAGGCCGGCAAGCAGAGGCTGTTAGGGGCGATCAGGCAGGCAGGTAGAGTGGTTAGGGATGATCAGGCAGGCACATAGAGTGGTTAGGGGCAATCAGGCAGGCAGGCAGGCAAGTGGTTAGGAGCCAGCGGTCCCGGATTGCGAGATGGGTGTCCAACTGCCGATTTAGGCCCCATTCCTGTGGCAGTTGGACTTCCCCCGAGGGGTCCTGGATTGGAGAGGGTGCAGGCCGGGCTGAGGGACGCCCCCCCCACACACACACACAAATTTCATGCACCAGGCCTCTAGTTAATAAATAATACAAGAATGAACTCTGTTTTGTGTACTAACAGCTATAAACCTACTTTTGCCCCCCTGCATATAGCGTATAGTGGTAATAGGAATACTTTGGATTAGAATTATTTACTAACTAGAGGCACGGTGCATGAAATTCATTCATGGGGTAGTCCCTCAGCCCACCTGTACCCTCTCGCAATCCAGGACTGCTGGCTCCTAACTGCTCACCTGCCTGCCTGCCTGATTGCCCCTAACTGCTCTCCCCTGCTGGCCTGATCACCCCTAACCACTCTCCCCTGCCAGCGTGATTGCCCCTAACTGCTCTCCCTTGCTGGCCTGATAACCCCTAACCACTCTCCCCTGTTGGCCTGATCGCCCCTAACTGCCTCTGCCTCGGGCCCCGCCACCGTGGCTCTGTCCAAAAGGATGTCTAGAAGACATCCGGTCTATCTGGTTTAATTAGCATATTACCCTTTTATTAGTATAGATACTTCATTATTAAAATGAAGAAAACACATGTGTTTTTTTTTTTTTTTCATTGTGGAAATTGTGCTCCATTTCTTTATTGGGTGAAAAAAGAACATGAGGTGTTCTTCTGTTAACTTTTTTGGTGTTAGTTTTTATGCTGGTTCTTCTTTCTAGAGAAACCCTTGCTGTGTGTTTCCTTTTTTCCTTCTTTTCTTTCTCTGTGCATGCAAGGAAGGTTAATGTAGAAATCAGGGAAGAGAAGGTGAGGGGAGCCCTTCCTCTTTATTTCTTTCTATACTTTTGCTATGTGATATGGAAATAGGGTGATTGATAACTTACATGAAAGGTACTTAGTAAAGAACATGAAAATGACTGCACTATACTGTGCTATTACTAGTAAAATTGGTAGTAGTAGAAAAGTTGCAAGAAAAATTAGAGGTAGTGGAGCAGATGGCCACTGAAGGGAAAGTAGAGAGAAGAATGCTGCTGATGATGATAAGCTATAATTAGAGAAGTCATTACCCGACTAGAAGACTAAAATTGTTAAAATCAGCCACCTCTTGATCTCATCTTTTTAGGGAATCATAGGGAAGCAAGAATAAGGTAATCTTTTGACTTTCATTCCTAGGTCTTTTTGCTTTTTATCACAATTTCTGACTGAGCATAAAATACATCTCAGACTTCTATCTCCCCAGGTGGTACAAAATGTAAAACAGGCCCAAGGGCTGGATAGCAAGACCACATTCATCCCCTTTGCTGCCAGACTCTACAGTTTACTTCTGTATGTACTTAGATCAGATCTTTAAATCTGTTCTCCCTCTAGATTGAGCTGACTCTTAACCTGTCTCTGACCTCTGGAAGCTAGCAGCTTTGCTAGAATGTTCATCCAGCTTTCTGAGAGCAGAATGCACTTGTACTGAGAGTACAGTTCTATGTTTAGGATTTTATTGCCACAATTAAAACACAGATCGGCAAAGTAATAATTCTATATTTCTTCTTCTCTCGAATGTCTACCTATTTTAGAGACATAGGGGGACTCCCCTTTTTTTTTTTTAAGAAAAAAAGCAGTGAACAACTTTCCTTTTGTCGTTTTTGCCTGGGGACATACACAGAAATCAAAACAACTGCAACAAATGAGTGGAAAAATCAGTTATTTTGCAAAGTAAAGCTGATCTATCTCTCTTTCTCGCTCTCTCTCTCTCTCTCTCTCTCTCTCTCTCAATGGTGAGAAAATGAACATTTGTAATGGGAATTTAGCTTCAGGGAAGATATTTATTACCGGAGGACACAAAGTAAAATAAAGAGACCAGAGTTGTTTATTTTATAAAACAGAAGTGGTTGGAGAGCACACTGCTCTTTCTGGGATAACAGTCTGTTTCTCTAGCAGTGACAGCTCATTTTGTCCTGTTTCAGTATAGTAATTTTAGTACTTTGAAACTTTGAAATTTATTCAGAATAACAGTTTTATATTTCCAAGCACAGATTGTCATTGCCAGGAAAAATAAACTTAATTTTCCAGGTCATTTTGGGCCACTGTGGCTAGAGCCAGATTTTGTATTGAGTTAAAATAGAGGGGGTGGGGGGGATGAGAAAATGGTCATAGAATTGTTAACATTATTGTTCTGGAAAAGTAATGATATATGTATATGTGTGTGGAGGTATGTATGCTGTGTTTTTAAGCAACTGTGGTTTTAAAACCTAACGAGAGAAGAAGTAGGAAGCTGTGTAATTCTTGGAGAGACTATTCACTTGGATATTGTTATCCAAGATAGGTTATTAGGAAAAACGGTTTTTAAAAAAATGTTACTATGACTCTTGAAACAAATTTGCATTTGTGAACTTATAGTCCAAAATACTTTTGTTGGCTAGCTATGGAAGGTTACAGAGTTTACTAAGGTGGGGTTTCCCAGTGGAAATTAGGTATTGGAGGAAATATACTTTGGAAGTATATGTAGATAA